CAAAAAACAAGTGACATAACCTGGTGTACCCATTGGTGCGCGCAGGCTGGAGGTGCCTCATGCAGTGATTCGCTCGAAGTCCCAAAGTTTAGGTTGTCAGTCCCATCGGTGAACAGTAGGTCCTAGTCAGATTAGCAGGTTGATAGGGGTAATTTCGGGCGATAATTCTCAGACATACTGTCAATCATTCTCAGTTCTAACGTTCGATCTCTTATCGGAAACATGGCCGATCTCACCAGCTTAATCAAGCAACGGGAATATACCCAAATAGGTAGGTGTGATCATGCTACAAAAAAGTTGGCTCCACAATGAAATTGAGGATGAGATAATATACCTGGATGGATTCGCTAGCTATCGCGTCGATCGTCCTGTTTATTCCCGACGGGGAGGTGGCGTTATCACGTATGTTAAAAATCAGTGGTGTCATCTGACCAAAAATGTGTTTACTTATTCCACGCGTTATATAAACGCATCGGCAATTCAATGTAAGCCCAGAAATTTGAGTTTTTCTCGGTCACTTATTCTCGTAAATGTATACATGTTCTTAATGATTTTTTTGATTCTCTTTCAACTACACTGATTGAATTCGTAGATACTTCTATCTGTATCATTTGTGGGGACTTCAATAATTTCGATACCCGTTTCTTAACCACCTTAGGTCTTCAAAACATTGTTGCCTTTCCCACCAGGCTTGACGCGCACCTGGATTTGGGTTTTATCAACCATCCCAATGTACTTCTTGTAGAACCTCGTCCCCCACCGGGAATGTCTGATCATTTTATGTTGAAGTTTTCCCCTGTCGTCTTAAGCAGAACGAACCATCGTCTCGTTACTCGAAGTCGTGATCACAAACTTCAAGTAAGACAGCGTTCTCCAGAAAACCTCATGGTGTTAAGAGAAATGATCAGAAACTCCGACCTTATTTTGTTTTCCGATCCCAACCCTTCCGTTTTCTGTGACCAACTAGTTACTTAAACTTTTGTTACGATGTCTATTTCTCCCTAGAGACAATACATATTCGTC